ATTTTTATACCCGAGCGCACTTGTGCACAAGGGTATAAAAATGCTTACATATGGATGTATTTCCCTGTATTTATTTACCATTCCTTTACCCTTCCTATAAATATAATAAAAATGCATGCCGTCGTGATTTCGCTGAGTCTAAAGTTCCAAGGCCCAATTTCGTTGAAATTTCAACGGGAACCCGGGCTTTTTTTTAATGATTAAGAAAGCATTTTTAATATCGAAAGATAAGAGTGCACACGGAATGTCTGAATGTTCCCCAAAAGAATAAGTAATAAACAGGGAAAGGATTTTCAGGACCTAAAAACCTATAAAAAAAACGCAAAATAAAACATCGAAATAGGCTAGAAAAGGCACTAGAAATCGCAAAAAAGGTAAAAAGAGGCTCTAAAAAAGACAGAATCCCGAAAAATAATCAAAAAAATGCTTTTGTTTTAGAAATGTCTATTTTACAAGTAAAAAGAGAAAAACAATGAACTAGTTTCATTATATGAAAAAATTCTACTTTGACTATTTTCTCCTTTCGAGTTTTTAACTCACAAAACTTTAATCTCTATAGTTGTAGTAAAATTGAACCACAAGACGCATTTTGAAGTTTTCTGGTAGCATTTTCATTCGATTTTCACGAAGAAAAGCCTTGAATGTACTAAACGTGCGCTCGACGTGAGTTGATATAAGTGGCGCCCAAACAAAATATAGAACGTTTAAAACCTTCATATTATCAAGAATAAGGGCTTTTCCTTGCCCTTTACAACTAGAGGCTAGTATGCAGCTGTCAAGAAAACGGACAAGAAAAAAATTGCCAGTACATATTTCGTGTGTGTGTCCTGGTTTCTTAGAGTAAGGGTCAAAATTACCCTTTCAGGCAGCAGCTAATGGGTTAAAATATTCTACGAAAATATTTCTCATGAAATTTTACTATATATGTCTTAAGATTTAATTTCGCTCAAACATTTTTTTAACCGTTTTTTCGCCTTATTTAAAAACTACTCAGGACGGGACAAGAAAACTTTAGTAGGGCATAAAATAAAAATACGAGATAACTTTTGCAAATCCTTCGAGTGTTTTACTACTGGATGGGTATACTTTCAAAAAATGTTAACAAAGTCCGGGGGCTGGTTTCGACTGTAGCACAGTGTTATATAAGCTTATCAAAAAAAGACGACATTTTCTGCTGTACTTCACAAACGAGATCATCTGTCAGTCCTACAGATGATGTTTACTAACTTGACGTCGCTGATTCTAAATATTCATTCGTTTTCTAGCAGCTCTTGTTTACGAGTTATAGCTTTCACCTTCGTTCGATGGAGGAACACTATCAAGACCACTAGAACACACATATCGCTCACCTAGGTCTAAAGTGAGCTAAATCAAAATTCAGATAGGGAAATTTAACTGCTTGTGGATCGTACAGATTAAACGCAATTAATACAAAAACAGGTATAATAGTAGTTTTTATGTAAGTACTATGAATCAAAAATGCTGTTGTGCGGTTATTATTATTATAAGTATAAACATACGTATAAATGTATAAGAATACTAGCAGACCCGGCGAACATCGTCCTGCTCAAAATAAATTTTTTGTTTTGAAACATTTTGGTCCAACATTTTCACCAACAGTTCACGTTCATGACTTTCAGTGACGCATTTATCTTCTGATATTACGGTTTGGTGGTTGTCAGAAGGATATTTCCATTAGGATATCCTTTTTCTGGGCTACTACCGCACGCATCATCACTACTGGAGGAATACATTGCAAAGAAATTGGAAATCTTTTTAAGGCGATTGTTCCTAATTTTTAACATTAGAGTTGACTGCTTTTTATTGCATAGTGCAATCGCAATAGATGCAATCTCAATAAGAGCTATTTTATGCTTAAACTTTTAAAAACCTTTGTAATTAATGTAATAGTCTGTAAGAATACAATTTTCTGTAGACAAAATAAATAAATAAATAAATAAATTGCCGTCTTAAATAACATAGGAAAAATGTGTATGCATACAAAGATACGTAATAGTTTTAGTGCGTTTGAAAGGCGCACTGCCCCCTTTTCACATAGCCCCAATTTTCTCTAAGAGTATGGGATTCACATACC